TCGGCTTCAGCCTCTTGCCCGCCTTGATCTCAGCCAGTAGCTCTGAGTTGTCGCCCGTCGGGGACATCATGTTGAAAGACTTGGTGCCTGCGCGGAGGCAGGAGAGGAGACGCTGGCCTGGTGTGAGGCCCGCGTCCCCGCCGCCCCCTACCTGCCCTCTGCTGCCCCCTTCCCCAAGTCAGCGCAGGCCGGGGCCTTCCCTTGGGCTCAGAGGGCAGCTCTCCAGGTCCCGGGTCCCGCAGGCAGCTCTCTGGGACCCCAGAGGCGGGTTCTCAGCTGGCAGCCCACGCGGCCCCTCCATCCTCCCGGCCCTACTCACGGGGTGTGGAGCCCCCGCCTGGAGGCCCCTGGGAGTTCATGATGGCTCCTGGGCCGGCCCTGGGACCTCTAGCGAATATCTCCGCCCGGCACACTGACTGCCGAGCTCCAGAACACTACCTGGGGCCAGCCACCCGACCTTTGTCCTGTCTTCCCCGACCCGGCCCCGCCAGGGTGGAGCCTCCCTCTGGCCATCTCTCTGCACCAGCAAACCCCAGTGACCCTTGGACTGAGTCACCTGGGGCTTCCATGGCTATAGACTCGGGACCCTGGATGCCAGAAGCCAGCCGGCCCCCTTCCCCCCGCCACACCCACAGACAGACACACGCGCAGACGCACTGGTTGCAAGCCCAGACGGAGCACACTTATGGCAAAGCGCAGCGCAGCTCTGGCGGACCCGGGAAAGCCGAGACCTTACTAAGGATATAGGGTCGGGGCACTCAGGACGAGGGGCCAGGCGGACGACATGCAAATGCTCGGCGCGGAGTTTGCATTTTCCGACGAGGCCGGCGGAGGTGAATGGAGTTGGGGGAGGGTTGTCTTTAGAGACTGAGGAAGGGGTCAGGGCTGGGTGAGGGGGAAAAAGGGGGCCAACAGCTTCTGGGTTCCCTGGGCTGGGGATCCCAGAGCGCGGTAGTGGGAGGGGAGAAAGGGAAAAGTGCCGGGGGGCGCTGGCTGCGGGCTCATTTCTTTAGGCAAAACCGTCTGCCGGGCACAGAATGCGGGTAGAGCCTGTCACGTCCAGGACCCCTCGCCTGCCGGCCCCTGGCCCCGTCCTTTCCTCAAGACCCCAGCCCGTCAGCCTGGCTTTTCCTGAGCGTGCCCTGTGCCCCGCCCCACGCCTCAGCCAGGAGCCGTGCTCGCAGCTACTCACTCTTCCTGTGTCTCAGCACTCTCACTTCTAGGGGCCGAGAGGAGAGAAGTGACAGGGGAGTTAGGAGAGGGAGGGGGCTGGGGTGAGGCTAGGACATCACCGAGAGCAAGAGAGGGCCAGGGAGGACAGGAGGAGGGGAGATGCGCGGGGAAGGGCG